TGATCACAGTATCCAAATATTTAAAACAATTAATTAAAGATGGCTAGATTTATTGAAAGTCTTCTGTATATTAATATATTAAGAAGTTGCATACATTGGATCAGAGGAGGCCATATCAACTTAAAATAAATTATTAAATGTACCAAAAAAAGTGATTGATATAGCTTCTCCACACTCAGTGTACTCATCCATTGAAAAGTATCTGGACACCAACATTTTTAAGCATTTCAATTCATAGAATATGTTGTTTTGGTTTGATTTCTTTGTTTATTACTTTTATTGAACAATCCGTAAATCCCTCTTGGAGCACTTCTGGGCTTAGTGCCACAGTAGAGTGAACATGGTGTAAATGTGGGTTTAAAGTGGCCCAGTCAAAATTCCGTCCTAGATATTGTTTACAATCATTGTAAAACTGAAAAAAAGGATGTTCTCAAAACTGAGCTTAGATTTATTGAAAAAAAATAGTGCTGTGTAAAAAGTATCTTTCTGTATGTGCAAAATTGGTAAACATTTTGTTACGATAATTATCATTGATGAAACACAGAGCTTTCCTTTAACAACTTAGATCAGTAATTTCTTTGAAATTTTGGCTTAACAAGGTATTAAATAAGCATGCATGCAACACCTTTCAGATTTTTATATATAATAAACAAAAAAAACTAAATGTTTATAATTGTTTCACAGGTTCAAAGTTATGCATCAAGCAATTAGGCCAATGTTAAGAAAAAAAAGGGTTTAGAGAGAATAAGCTGCTGTTTGTAGCATAGCAAGATTGTGCTGCTTTCAATGAAAGTGAAGAGCGTTTAAAAAACTCAATACAGCGTGACAATAACATTTAACATCAATCCATGTTTTACATGTCGGCTTGTATGCAAAGTCTGCCAGACATAAATTTTATTATCTGCATCAGTCTGTAACGGTACTTGCAAGTACCTACAACTGCAAAGTTGGTAACCGCACAGAATGAATGCAATGATACCATAATCAACTGCATTACACTTCATGGATAAAAAATTTTCTTATGTACTCAGTCTTGTACTCATACTCCTCGTATTCTACTTTATCAAAGACCAGGTCATATTGCTTTATCTACTTTATCAAGACCAAGACATATTTGGAGACAGTAAACTATAAAAAGGAGATGAATGAGTAGATATTCTGCTGAAGTGATAGGTTATAAACAACTCAATGTACCATTTTTTTATTTATTTGTTGCAGAAGTAACAGGATGTATTGCAAATAAATGACCAATCTGCCTACAGACATGAAGAGGTATTTTGTAAAGTTGAATTTTATTTTATTTTAAGCATGATTTTGGGGGGCTTAGGACTGCACATCTAACCCCTTGAACCCTACGGACCCACCGGCGGGTCCAGCTGCTACATGACCTCGTAGTTTTACCAAACCCCCAGTATTGATGTAAAAAACATATTTGGCACAGTTTGGTGACATTTATGGATAAATGTGCCAAAATGGCCTCTCCGCCTAAGAAATTTCTCACTGATACCATTCTAAAATAAATATGATTCATCTGATTGAGTCCAAATTTGGTATATTTTTACACAACATTTAGATTTGAAAGTCTGTACTACTTTTTTGTGCTATAAATACTATTTTGGTAGTGTTTTGCATTGTTTATTTCAAAGAAAATTTTGGCGAGGTTCAAAAAATGCAAAATATTTTGTATTTTGTCCCTAATATTTCAGGCAGGGTCAAAGCTACAATGGTGCTGACACCAGAAAACCATTCTATGACATCTTACCTTTACAGACGTACCAAAAGTTTCTTCTTAAATCTAATAGCTTTGAGGCCATAAGTTATTTACTTTTGTGTGTTTTTGTCAGGCAGAAATTTATTTATACCCCCTTAGGGTGTAAGAGGCTAAATGTTGTTTTTGAAAGAAAGACACCATTGCCCGTAGGTTTTATAGAAATATATAGTTTCTTGTTTCCCTTAGATTACAAAGAGCAGTGCATAGGATGTTGGGTTTTACAAATTCAGAAAACACATTTTGTGTCTTTCCTTCATTCAATTTAGATCACATTATAAACGAATACATTGATAGAGCTAATGTTGCAGTTTAAAGGCTAGGTGTGTATTTTGGCATCAGCAGGGAACTTAGTGCCAGCTACGTGTGGGTATATGGAGCCTAGGCGGAAGTTCAACTGAAGAAACTGCTCTCCTACATCCACCTACGACACAGCCAATGAACTTTGAACCACACCTCCACGAAAGCCAATCGGCATCCAAATCTCATCATAAAAGGCCTCCGATCCGCAACTTGTCTGCTGCCTGGTTGCGTTTTGTGACTTCATTCAGATGACCCACCTCCAGCCCCTCCTCCACCATTGTAGCTAAAACTTCATCACAGTTCATTACTCCAGGACTCTTACTGCATTCTGGGTCTCATTTCAACCAGTCCAGCAGAAGACCGCCATGTTGAACCTGGTTCTGCCAGAGGTTTCTTCCCAACAGGGAGTTTTTCCTCTCCACTGTCGCTTCATGCTTGCTCATCATGGACAGGTTCTCTCAACCTGTGTTTTCGACACTGGACTTTCATCTTCCAGGTGCCTGAGTGAAGCTATAGTATCAGCTCACGCAGTCCACTGGATCTCCCCATAAAGCTCAGCATACCGCCACGCTTACCAGCAGTCTACAGACTGACCAACTTCATCTATCTCCACACTGCAAAAAACATCTAGAAATATGTAAAAAATGGCTTAAATTAAGTGTATTTACCCTTAATTTGAGCAGGTAAATAAGATGATCTGCCAATGAAATTAGTATTTTTACTCCTAAAACAAGATAATTAGATAATATACACTTAAAATAAGACAAAGCAATTGTTTTTTTACTCATTTTAAATGTAAATTGTCTTGTTCCATTGGCAAAGTGTCTCACTTACCTCCTCAATTCAAGAAAAAATGCACTTAATTTGAGCAAAAATTACTTATTTAGATTTTTTGCAGTGCACTCCACCACCAGTTTCAAGCCTGGGGGGAAACAGCCCTATTCTTTGCTCCTGTTCCTGCATATCTATCAAAATTGAGCCCTATGTTTCTTGCCGAAGTCTGAGTGCCAAAGACCAAGTGATTGTATCAATAAGTTTCTTCCAATTGTCTTTTCTCTTCGTGTGAGTTTTTCAGATTGAATTAAAACCAGACTACCCACATGCAAGATGCAAATAAATGCACCTAATGACTAAATAAACAACAAATTAAGAACTCAATTAAGAGTTTGTTAGAGTAAGTCAGTTTATTTTAAACTGCAGTGGAGAATTAGCCAAGTGTCTTCCTTTAGCAGAAACCCAATTTGCTAACGTCCTGAGGGGTCAACACCCAAGCTGAGTTCTGCTACTATCTCCCACAATATCCAAAGTGTTTGAGGAAAACCTATACATCAAAATTATCACATTGGAAGTTTGGCAAATGCTGATAATTTATTCACACATGGAATATAAGTTGGGGGCAGAATGCCGCAACAGATCATCCTCTCCTTAGCACTAAATGAGACCAGAACCTGTAAAGTGTTGCCAGTCAGATTAAGTGCTCATCAAAAGGGTATGATATAAACTCTGTGAATACAGCCTAATATAATAATTTCACTTTCTTTGACTTCCACGCCTATTAGGTGGTTACTCTGCCCAGGAATGTTTTACTTATTCTGTTATTTGTAAATGTAATATCACAGGGCAATTACTGGTAGTCCACACTATCCTACTACATTTCCTTTTGTATATAATCCCAACTTTCTAGTAATCTCCCAATGGAAATGTAGCAGTGAAATAGTATATATTAAATGTATTATGATTTTAGGGGATGTTAGCTCCTCTCAGATGGGCTGTAAGTGTCACATTTTGGGAGCAAATAAATTGGATTTCTGCTTTAAAAAGGTGACAAGAGTGTAATTTATTGTAAATAAGATATACAAAGTTTATAATGCTTTCACAGAACCTCAACGAAAAAATCTTAAACATGTTCAGAGGAGAAAAATGTTAAATATCTGGGGAGTATGTTTGAGGTGGTCTTTAATAGGGCTGGAAAGATGTGCCTTTCTTGCAGAGCAGTGTTTACAATGCAACTAGAATGAACCACTGCTTAATAATTTAATAAATTAAATACTGATAATAAGAATAATACATTATTGTTATGCTAAATAAAAATGTCTAGAATTACATCTCCTTATCCCTTTAACATCCATGTGTGACATTCACATTTAGAAATTTATTTGTTGCTGTGAAAGAACACAGCACATCATCATATTCACCCCTGCAATTGGGTGGGTGCAGCAGCCCTATCTTGCAGAAGCTCCCAATCAGCTGAGCTGTGGGCTGAAAAGAGTCACATGCCTTATCTAGGTTTGTTTTGTTTTTTGGCTTTCCTTTTTTTTTTTTTTTTTCTTCCACGTGTCAAGATACACGACACAGGGGGGGGCGGGACCATAACAAACCCTGATTGGCTGGCAGCGTGTCACCAGGTTAAGATGACTGCTTAATGTTCCAGGCTCATTTATGGTATTATTTTCAGTAAAAAATACGGGATTATTTCAAGAAACTATGAAAATGCAGCTTTTTAACATGCAATACAGCAAAACGGGCTGTGATCTGAACGATGATGTCATCAAGACATCTAAATGAAAAACAATATAGATGCATCTTTGTCCTCTTGTTTACCTGACACATAGATGTTCTTATATCTCTCTCTATATATATGTATATAAAGGATAGATAGCAATTACCTAAATATTAAACACAGCTTCATTACTGTTGTTTTTAAGATTTTTTTTCATTTGTGAGACGTCTCTTCTTTGTTTATAATTTCAACCTCATCTTTTAATATCAAATAAACAAAACACTCAATTTTGAGATTGAAAAAAACAATTTTTTTTGTATCTGGCATTTTATAACCTGTCAAAAATGTCTTGTTTGCATAACAACAGTGTGGGGCCTTTCACAGGGCGGTCCGATGATGAAGGCGTGGCATTTAGAGACAAGGAGGAGGAGAGAAAGAAAAGGAAAACAAACCCTTCGCTGCCATCAGAACTAAATGGTTGTAATGCGAGGAGGTTCATGGCTCCCCACCGCTTCTGTCCGTAGAAATCAAGGTGACGGCAACTCGTCAAGATACCACCGATAACAACGGAAAACGCTTTTCCTGGCGGTGAGTGTGCGGTCGCTTTGATGTTGGTAGTCGCGTGCGCGCGCGCGTGCTGCGATCTGTTGGAGCGGAGTTTATAAACAAGCGGAGCGGGCAGCCAACATGCCCGGGCACAGATACGGCGACAAACGGATTAGCAGGCGAGAGAAAGCGGTTTCATAATTGGATTTATTTGCAGGTGTTATTTTAATTAATTATTGCTAAATGTCCGGTTGTGAGCAACGGAGAAAAGGGGGATAAAGTAAATGCTGCGATTCAGCATCTTCCCGACACATGTTCACCGGTGTTTTGGGCACTTTTCTTCTATTTGAAACTTTTATGCAAATCTCTGACAATAGTTTCAGAGTTAGTTTAGTGTACTCATTGTAAGGACAATTATTAGAAACAGTTATCGCAATTTATTCTCTCAGGGTTCTGTGAATTATGGTGAGACTTTGCCCGAGATGAGAAAACGTCATACAGCCTCTTGAATAATATCCTGCTGTGCGCAAAATTAAAGGTAAACTAGTTTCCTCTGCCACTTCAGACGGATTACAATCCGTGTCAAAGTTAGTTAACCGGTTATAGAACCAATTCACTTTATTAACAGCATTTTCTGTCTGCCTGGTGCCTTTGTTGACATGTTAAACCCGGTTTGCTGTGGATGTTGTTCTGTCGATGATGAGCTGCGCTCGTGCTCTGACGCGTTCGAGCTGTCCGAGATTTCATGCAGCTCGCGCGGTCAGAATCGCAGTCCGAATCAAGTGATTTCTACATCTTGGCATAATTAATCTAGTTTTGTATTTTAGTCTTCTCTGCATCGTTAATTTTCCTGATAACTCGGTTAGATATAAATAAATAAGTATTGCAATAAATATGCAATACTTTTATCATTTATTAATTTTGTTTGCCAGTGAAAATAAAAAAAATAACATTCATTTAAAGATAACAGAAAGTCTTCGTAGTAATATGAAAGTAGGAGGTGAAGTTGAGTCTCAGCTTTGCATTTTGGAGAGCACAGATGGTGCAGCAGAGGGAGCCACTTAGTGCCGGGGCTTGGAGCCTCTGACCATCAGTATGCTGGCTGCCAGGCCTCCCCTGCAGCCCCGGGGCGGTGTGTGTCTGTGTGTGCGTCTGTGTGTGCGTGCCTTTCTGTGTATCTCCCTGAAACCTCCCTGTTTGTTTTTCTGTTTGTCTGACGCTATGGCAATAGTGGCAGTCCTCTGATGACTGCCAGCGGAAGTTCAAGACAGGGCTTGCTTTGTCACTGACACGCAACATAAGTGCACATGTTGATATTGTTACAACTCTCCACTCAATTGTCTTAATTTATACCTGTAGAGAAAGTTAAAATATTTTTGCAATAGTTTTGGAGCTGCTAAAGGTTGTACTTTCCTATTTTTATTCCAAATCAGTGTAATTTTTAAGGGATTATTATATTAGTGCTGCAAATTAATGCATGCAGATTACATTAATGCATGCATTCTTACACTTTAACTTTCTTTAAGCTCACCTTAATCTCTTATCCTTTTCTTGTTTTGCAATATGACATCATGGTAAAATAAACTTTCACAATGAGAAGCACTTCTTGAGCTGCCCGCTCGATAAACACAATACCAGCGTTTCCAGTTTCAAGATTTGCATTCACCCTGCCTGTTTGTCTCCGCTTTCAGGACAAAAAAAAAAAAAAAAAAAACAAGGAGAAAACAAAATTACTGGCACACTTAACAGAATTATATAACAGTTGTTTCCAAATTGGGCAGCAAGCCAACAAGGAAGAGAGAGTGCACGCTCCTGCCTCCAATAGACAGAGTGAAACTGGTTATCTCCGTCATGAAACGGTCGCTGCAGGCACCACAATCAACTGGTGGTGGAGCTGAGAGTTTTGGTTTCACTCACACTCTGATTGCCACTGTGCATGCCTCTGGATAAATGGAAACAGATAAACATCTACCTGGAGACACAGAGGTTTATACAGATGATAAAAACCACTGCTGCAGATCCTGATCATTGGAGAAGCAAATTACAGGGAATTTTCTGTCACAATTGATTCATTACTCTAAAGGATTGGTGAAATATGCTTAAGGAATGGAGCAAATCCTTAAATCCTCCCCCAGCAGGCTGCTTCTACATGATTGGGTCCTGTTCAATTTTATTCTGGCCTCCTCTGTGTCTACTGTCTTCCTTCATGTATGAATTTCAGGAAACTCACCGTTCATGCTGTGCTTGTTTGTTTTTATTGCTATGTTAATCATTTAAGCCTCTTACCGGGAATTGTAAGAATGATTTCTCTTTATGTAAGGCATATCGGATGAGATCATTCCATCTGCCACAAGCAAAGTTTTCACTGATAACAGGATTATGTTTGGTATTCTAGTTCTCCCCTTAAGAAAATCCCCACTACCCTACCGAGTGTAGGCTTTACATTTCAGTTTTACACCATTTCTATAATGTTCTAAAGTTTTCATGCCGTGTATCCCCCCTCCCCCCCACTGTTTTCTCATCAGGGAGTTTACCGCTGAGGCGTTGGATGGATGATGAGGAGGAGGACATGTCACTGCCCATCTCACAGCTCAGGGTATTGCCCTTTGAGGACGTCAGATACGAAGACCGGGCTACGCAGATCGCAGCCGGACAGACCCTGGCTGCCGTCACCGCCGCCGTGGCGGCGTCGCAGGGCCACAGCAACAACGGGATCAACACGCTCCCCTGCAGCATACACTTGCAGGCTCCCATACCTTTCAACGGTAAGGAGGGGAGAGACGATCTGTCCCTGATCAGGAAAGAAAAAGTGACGAATGAGCAGCATAGCAGCATTTAATCACACATCTGTCTGGTTTCTCCGCCTCATAAAACTTCCTGGAGTTATCAAAAGTTATCAAAATTGTTTATTTTCTTTTGGCATGGTGTCATTCGATAAGATGAAATCTTTTAAATCATTCGTTTTTCTACTAGTGAAATAAAACTCTGAATACTTACAGCAATAGTAATAACACTTTATGAGTGTGAAAGCAAACCCAGAACCTTAAAAAGGAATATTTGAAACTATTTTTTTTCCTCTTTACCAAAATTAAATTTATTGTGTAACGCACTATAAATACACATCTAACTAAATTTATACATTAACTGTATTATGTGGTTTCCTTTCAACAGAGTTTTCTTTTCATAAGAGTTTTGAAAAACTTGTATAAAAATGGGTAAAAACCGTCCCATAGACACATAAAGTTACATGCCCACGCTGACACGGCCGTCTTTCTAAATCTAATAGCTTTTTCCCATGTCTAATCAAATTAATGTGACGTCATGCAGAGTAAATTAAATGAATGTTGAAGCAGCTTGTTTGTAGACTCAGAATGAGTGTATAAGAAGTACCTGTTGTTCTGGGTTTAAAATCATCAGTACATGAAAACACCGCCTGTTGTGACACGGTCGCTCATTGTAAACCAACCGGTAATGGAAGTCACACGCTTGGCTCAGCGCCACCCCTCCTTTGCAAACAAAGTCCACTGTCGTGCGCGAAGTACAACTGCAAGGCATTCTGCACATGTTGACAACAGAAAATGTTTTTCTCTCACAGTGGCATGGCTGCAGATACGCGTGCCAGAGGTGGCGAGTGAACTCAGTGACAGCCCAACAAAAGCAGGCCGTTCACTGAGTGTTTTTTTATTCGATTTGGCGTTTGAAGTTGAACACCTGTAATCAGCTTTCTTCTTTTTTTCCTTTAGACTCTTTTATTAATCCTTTGGATTTTTCAGGTCACATCTAAGTAATCTATAAACTTAAAATTAAAGTAAATGGTTCACCAACATGACCTCTTTTTTATCATTTAAACTAACCATTTCATTGGCAGCTGTGATCACGATACAGCTAAAGAAGTCAACTTTGTAGTGATTGGCAGCTCTAAAGATGGTGCCTACATTTAGTAAATCTTAGATAAGCCCAGTTCTTATACATACAGACTTTGCGAGGTCTGTCAGTTGGCCCACAGGTAGTTATGAGGTTCTTATAGGATGATAAACATTAGCATTTACACCAAAAGTGAAAAACACACATGTATAATATTCTTTATTCCTGTTTGTTCTAAAATTATGTACCAGAGGGATTCTTATAGACACAAGCTGAAATGAGTCATTTGTAGATAAGCTTCTCGTAACTTGTTACCTGTAGTTTTAAAACATCATTCAAGATTGATGGAGACTGGCTTATTTTTTTTTACCCCATTGACCTTGTCTGTGTTTAAGGAAGTGGAAAAGAGTATAAGCCGTCCCCACTAGCAGCAACATGTAAGGATGGGGCTGGACTGCTTTATTCTAAGGGAAGGGGGTGTCAGGTCCATTGGCGCTGTGTTGGACATGTCTAATGTCTAGTACTGCGAAAGTTGGACATTAAAAGTTCATTTGGTTCTGGCGTGCTAGAGCAGGGATACAAACAGAAGCTGCAGGATAGGGGCACTTGAGGACCAACATTGCCTGCTCTCCTCCTACTTTTAATCTCAGAAAGACCTCAAAAAGAAAAAAAGTAAATTTTCTTTGTGGGGGTTTGTTTTTTTGTTTTTTTACCTTGGTATGTTTTGATACTGGCAGTTGCTACTCAAAGGAATAAAAAACTGATTGGCTTTATTTCCTTATTTACATGACCTTGTATAAATTACATTCATGTCTTGTGGAAGTAGAATAGAATAGAATAGAAAATTGTCCCACAATGGGGAAATTGTAATATTTACAGCAGTACAGAGATTATATATAAAAAAAAAAAAGTAAAAGAATGAGTAAGAAAGTAAGAGTCAACCTAATAATCATTTTAACAGATTAGTAAGATATCTAAAAGAGGAAATTGTTTGGCATTTAAAGATTACAATAAAAAGAAGAAGAACTCTTCTTATGGGGAACATGATTCACTCTTTTCAGGCAACCCTGGATTGCCCTTACATCTTCCTGTTCAGTTTGGGCCTATGGAGGACCGGGGAGAAAGACAGATCGCTGAGGAGGAGGACAGAGGGGAGGAGAACGATAGAATGGCACAGAGGCCCCACGTGGAGCCCGTCGGGATGAGCATTGAGGTCCAACTTGGTCGTAAACTCCGGGAAATTGGAGACAAATTCAACCAGGATCACGTCGAACTGGTAAGCTTCATTATAGAGCAATGATGTCAATCCACAATAAACCAGCTCCTTTATATCAAATAAACATGCCTGTGATCCTTTAGACAGCTTGTGGGTTTTGGGCAAACTTTGGGAATGATGATAAATATTATATATTTGACTGGTTGTCTCTGACAGGCGGTTGAACAAGCTGTTTATTGTCCTGCCTGAGCGTCAGTCTTGTTTGTAAAGGTTTGATTAATAGGAGCAGCTAAAGATGCCTATCAGCTGCCCTGACTGTTGTTCCACTGAAGCTCTTTAATAACAAGGCGTGGTTTTTACAAAGTGGTTTTGTAGAGAAGGTGACAATTTACATAAGAGGAAAAAAAACAGTAGAAGAGAGATTGAAACAGTGGTGGTTTTAGATTAAATTTATAAGTAGGGACTGTATTTTTTTTTCATGGGGCACTGAAAAAAGAAAAGCAAACAAGAAAAAAAGACGTGAATGCATCATTTGGTACAGTAAGTAGGCCACAAAGTCAAGGTTACAGACTCCTGATCTAACATATAACTGTCATCCTATTAAGCTTAAAGCTAACTGCAATTTCTAAATACGGTTAAAGGTTAAAGTGAAGTGTAAAGGCAAATAATTTATGTTTCTTATATCAGCACATGTCATCCTAACTTTATTTAGTACTACGCTACGAAAACTGATCTTGAAAAAAATGTCTTAAAATAAGTGTATTTCCCCTTAATTTCAACAGATGATTATAATGAAAGAGTATTTTTCTATCTAAAAAACACAATAAATAATTTGCACTTGAAATAAGTTAATGTAGACTTTTTTTTTTATTTTAGACATAAATTATCTTATTGTTTCACTTACCTGCTCACATTAAGTCAAAATACACTTATTTCAAGATAAAAATGTACTTAATTGTATTTCAGTTTAATTGTGCTTTCAGTACAGGGGCCCTAATAGGGGTCAGGTCCTGTACTACAGGCGCACTGTTGGCCCCTGTCTAGAACCGGCCCTGGTTTTAATGACATTGCAAAGTTAGAGAGGCAGAGCAGGTGAGATCGATACTATTGCCACCAACATTAGCGCACGTCTGTGTCTGGGTAGACTTAGCCGGCTGTTTATACGCTCTTCTAAAAATAGAGTCTGACTCACACACTTATAGACACAACCAGCAACATGACGGCTACCCACAATACCTCACTTGTCCCGCTGCCTGCCTCAGCCTGTGTGTGTGTGTGTGTGTGTTTTGGTTTGCATGTGTGACTCTCTAACAGAGAGATAAGAGAGAACTTTTATTTTTTTACTGATTTGTCTGGCGTCTGAGCTGGGATTGGTTTCTACCCCTTGGAATAGAATATTCGATTGGTTGGATTTTCACGAATGGCCCATTATTATACCCAATAGCTTCTCTGTGTTGCTATTGTTAGACGTATCTGCTTGCTTTCCAAGCAGAACTTGCCCTTATGTTGAAGATTAGTGGGTTTTTGCCTGGGTAAAGCAAGTTTTACTTGTGGTTATGCTCACTTCCACCCTGACATTAAAAGAGAGGGCCAAACATGCATTTTGTCTTAATGGTTTTGGGAATAAGGATAAAAAAAAAAAAAGAAAAGGCCAACAAATTGCACACTGTTCTCTGTTACCTATAAAAAAAAAAGCGAGTGCAGAAAGATGAGCTTCACGAGAAACACTAGGGTACTGTTTAAATAATCTTAGCAGTGTGGAATTAAGGGCAATTAGAGACAATTAGGGTTAGATTTAGTGGTGCTGCTTAAAATCAGTTCAGTCTACTGGTTCTACATCAAATAGCCTGTGGCAGAGTCTGATTCTTCAGCTGGTAGGGACCCTGATGAAGAGTGCTTATGCAACAAGCTGCAATATCTACGGGTGGCAGTTCCAGTCCCTCAAAGGCTAACGGGAAGCAGGAGATTCCCGGATGCTTTTGAACTTGATAGATGAGGGCACATCATTTCTTATGAAAACCATGGAGCTTGGAAAGGGGAGCATCGCTAGAGACAGCTGATTGGGTTTTTGTTGGTTTGAAAACAGTTAAGCTGACTTACTTAGGCTACGTTCACACTGCAGCCTGAAGTGACCCAAATCCAATTTTTCTGCCTATATGCGACCTGGATCTGATCTTTTCACGGCAGTCTGAACTACCGTACATAGATTTGATTTTTTCCAATGCGACCCAGGCCACTTGACTATGTGGTCCTGAATCCAATACGAATCTGATCTTTTCAAAAGTGACCTGTGTCTGAACTCAGGTCGCATTCATCGTCATTAATACCTGACAATGGTCACTATTCTGGGTCTTGCTATGAAGAAGCGGCAGCAAAAACAATAACCATGGTGGACGATGATGCGGAGAGCAGTATTTATGTTTAACCATCTTGAAAAGATTGAGTTTTTATGGTTGGGAAAGATCGCTAGATGCGCTCCGGCACTACCATCCATGTTTACTTCCATAAACACAGAACACACTGGCCTGTGATGTCATTGCGTCCTCCACTGCGCATGCAGGACATTTGCGTTATATGCCTGCAGTTCACACAGGAGATCACATACAAGTCGCATATATTTGTAAGGGTGAACGGCAGCGAAGAAAAATCGGATTTCGCAAAAAAATGCAATTGAGCATCAAGGCCTGCAGTGTGAACGTAGCCTTATTGTCTGGATCCTATGCACTGAGATCCTTAGATGTTATTACCTGTAATACTGACCTTAGCTGTTGCTTACAGATGTTACTTTCCCGGCAGTTTGTAGGATGAATGAATACTAAACAGAGCAGCAGATTTAGCTGATTTCAGTCCTTTAAAAAGAACTCGAGCTGAAAATTTCTGCATCCGTGTCTGCATTTTAACTCAATATGTTGTGTAAGTTTAGACCCATTGTTCTCAGCTGAACAGCACCTTTTTCTGCTGTTCGAGGCTATTATTTAGCGTAGACATTGTCAAACTATATAAAAAACAGCAAAAGATGTGGCGTTTTGGTAGATGATGTGTTAATATTTCATTTTTACATAGAAAAACAATGTTTTTGGTTGCTTTAAGTTAATTAAACTTGATGTGCATCCGACTGGATGTTAATCTTTGGTTGCATAAAGGACTCATTCAGGTTTCCTCCTAACCCTACTGCACAGGGAAGTACCACTGATATCCACTCTGCAGAACAGAAACAAAAATAACTTTTCCTTCAGAGAAAGCAAGTCCTAGTGTGCATTTTAGCTATGTTTCCTAGACAAACGTATTCTTGTGGAAACAATAATTTTGAGTCATATGGATCAAATTGTGCATGTTAAAGTTCTGCTGTTGACTGATATTTATTGATGTTTTTTGTCTCTTACAGTTCGTGAGGCATCAGAGACAGAACCTGCCTGTGTGGATGCGCCTTACAATTGCCCTCTTTGGATTTTTGTTTCCAAGAGAGGCTCTGGTGCCGCGGCTAAGAGGAGAACAGAGATGAAGAGACTTCCATCTGGTTCTTGTTCTCTAAATTGGACTGAAAGCGAAGAGATGGCACTGTAAGATGGAACGACGGGTTTGGATTTTTCTTGTCTAACTGAATATAAGGATGAGATGAAGAAGATAGCAGTCACCGCTGGACGGAGACTGATTACGTTTTTTTTTTGTTGATTTGTCTTTTATTTGTTTCGTTTCGCCTCTCTGAAAAGAAGCCATTTTGTTTTGGAAGAGATATTTTGGAAATATTTGTAAGATAACCTATTTTGTACAGCAAACTGCTCTTTTTATCTGGTGTGTCGACTCCTGAAGGACCTCCATCAGTCCAGGGAATGCCTTACTCTCTCCTGCAGCAATCAAAATGCCGTTTTGCATCAACAATATCATGCAATAGTGAGAGAGTTTAAGATTAAAGTTTGGGTAACATTATGTTGACAGACTATGGAGAATTCTTTGAAGAACTTACTGACGCAAAACTTTAAAGAAAGACTCAAGGCACATTTTTGAGTTATTCTGCTAAAGACAAAAGAAAGCCCTGTACTTGCCGTTCACCTCTCCGCATTGGCTAATGAAAAACTCTGTTTAGATGCATATTTAAATCAGCTTGCAGATGGAACTCGTTAGCGACTCCGTCTGCAGCAGTGATCTACGATCCACTGCGCAGTTTCAGACACTGTTAAAAATGTACCTACTTGATTTGTGCCTACCAAAGAGATTCTGGGCACACAGTTTAAAGATCCGACGCAGTAAACTTTTGAGTGTCAGGTGTCTGGCGCCCCCCCCTTTTGCAAATCCTGAAAGCAAACAAGCACAAACAAACACAGACGCAGAAGCTTCACTTAGTCTGGGATTATGATCAGGGATCTGGGAACAATCACCTGAAAGGCTTTGGATAAAATGCCATCGTTTTCCAAGCGTTCAGTCTTTCAGCCTGGCTGGATTGACAATCACAAATTCTATACTTTGCTGCGCTGCAGTTCAAAGCCAGTGGATCGGATGTATCAGCAATCACTCCTGGGGGGGTTGTTTACCCCAGCTGTAAATCTTTCAAATGCCCGATGTCTCAAACTACCAGCTTTACTTCTGTACAGTTTAAAAAAAAAATCTCTGGCAAAGGTAGGAATGCGTTAACACCACCTTTGTGCAGCAACTTACACCAACAAAGCCACTATTTGTGTGTGTAAATTCTGGAATTTGTCAAAGATTGCTCCTTTTGCAATATTATAGTCATTATATAAACATATGAAGACACTGATTGTTTTTTGTTTTTTTTTCTACCTTCTTTTCTTCAGGGAGTACTCTTAGCACCCATGTAAATCAGACTCATTCAGCTGGATTTGAAAACGAAAAGGTGAACATGAAGTGTGTTACATGCTGTCAAGTTTTTCTGTTTTGTTCGCTATGAGAGTTAGCCGAGTTTGTTTCCTGCAAACACTGAACGCTGAGCCAGTAGAAGATGGTTTTGATACACACTTTTCGCCCATAGATACACTCACTGAACTACTCCCTGTTCCTCTAGAAGATAAGTTTCATTTATGGTTCATTTTGAAGTAATTTATTCTAATTTATTTTGTGCATAACTGCTCAGTGCTACTGTATAGACGCTGTCTTGGCTTGTACGGTCCTTTTTCTGCTCGTCGTCAGGGTGCGTTCAGTTTTTAAAGCCTGCGTGCGAGTAGGTTGGACAAAAGCCATGTGCCTCATGCTCTCTCACTCTTTCATTCTCGCGTGCAAAATGACGCGAGTCGTTACAAATCGTGCTAAACGACAAGACAATCAAAAAGCCAAAAAAAAAACATGTGCCTTGTGATAAATAAGACCTGCCCCGACTTCATCCTCATCAGCACTTGGCATAGTTTACCTTACAGTTCTCCTGTTCCGGCTCTCCGTTTCACCAATCTCACATAAGCTCGTGAGGCACAGGCTCAACCTTTGACAGCTCTCAGCATGAACGGCGACCCTTTTCACCATGCCGAGCCCTCTCAAAACCACAAGTGACTGTTTTTGCAACATGAACTGTAAAAAAGGTTTCCTTTTTTTTTAATCTGTATACTGTATTTGCACCTATTCTGTTTCTACTATTTTTCTGAAACTCCCACTAGATTGCTGAAAACCTTTTTACGATCTGGGGTTACCTGGATTGGCCAGTCTAATCTGGGATTTTTTTTCGAAAATTTGGTACTGCATTCTAACGAGGCTTCGAAGGGGAAAATGAGCCACCGCTGTGCCCAGCATTGCATCTATTTAAGATGGATTGAACAGCCACTCGATCTGAGCCTGCCGTTATTTTCCACTGTTTCAACTTTGGCTCAAGTGAGACGTTTCTGTTCAATCCGTCGGTGTCTTTGATATGGATATCAATTTGTTTGGAAAAGAAAAAGACTGTCAAGTTATGTTGTGATTTGTAGTTTTTTTTAATATATACATTTGACATAAATTTGACACACCAGTTGTTACCTTTATAAAACCAATTTTACATACTGCTTTTTGTAAGAAGAACTAGAAAATGATGTTTTTGGTTTTCTATGATTGCAGTTTATAACAAATGTCATTATTGATTTAGGATATTGCCAAGTCTGCTGTGTCACTCAATTAAAGGGCTTTTTAATATATGTAAATGGAGTAAACATGCATGTCCAACATTCCCGGAAATGAAATCTATATCCTAAAAGGTCTGAATGTAACTTGAGTGGGAATCACAATATCTCTTTTCTACGTGAACTGAACAGTTGCATTTTTAAACTACTGCGCTCGCCACGCACGAAGCCTGAACGTCTTCATCTTTTGCTGTCTTTGCTTTCAGAGTGGTCTCAAGGATTACACACTGGTGTGTCCTAATGAAGTGAGACCCAGTCCAGATGTAGCAGTTTTTTTTTTGTTTGTTTGTTTTTGACGAAAACATCGGCTGTGTTATCTTTGGGACTGCTCTGCATCTCCTGTGCTGATTTTGAACCACGTAGGACACTGGAGCGATGGAGGGATTTAGAAGGACGAGTACAGGGGGGATGTTTGTTCTTTTCTAGTGCAATATGCTGTACATAAGAGCTTGGCTCACCAAATCTTACAATTTCTTCTTAAATTTGTTTTGTTGTTAAATGGGTACATTGCTGTTTTGATTTCTAATAAAACTTTACGAACTACTAACATGTTCTGTGGTTTATTTTGATCCACACAAATCAAAACTGTCACCTAACTCCTTTCCTCTTTTTCATACAATTCTATGCTCTAAGGGGGTTGTGTGCTGTTTGGTTGGACTTAATCTTAGGATGCTCAACTACAGAAAAGTTAATTCAAGACAAAAATAATGGCACTCTTCTTGAATAGAATGCACACAAAATAATTTTGATTATAGTGCTTTTTTTAGATGATGCCTAACCTAAAACTCACAATCAAAAAAAATCACAAAATTGTAAAAGTTACTATTTGCAGCAAAAAATCCCTAATTTTAATTGGTTAATATTATTTCTAAAATTCAATTTAAGAATCAGATGTAGCTCCATCTGGCAAAAGACAACAAAAATTTTTTTTTTTTTATCAGAACAAGAATATAAAGAATAATAAAAATAACTCAAGAACTAAATAATCAAGATTTTGCCCTCATTGTGGGATATTTTCAGAGGAATATTGTATTCAGCTTCTTAAATACATGCTATAAACAAAACTATGTCAGATACAAACACACCTAGCATTTCATACAGGTTTGATGTGTGAATTTATCTCTCAAACCTTCCTGTAAAATATTTTAACCGTGTTGCAATATTTGCCCTAAAGGCTGTTTTTGTATTTACTCCTATGACGTTTCTAATTTTTAAGTGAATTCTAGATGTGCTTTTCAACATTTTTTGTCGTCCCTAATTCAATGATAGCAATATTAGGAGGAATAGGGCATTTTTTGTATAGAGAAGTACATCTTGTTCACTTTGCAAACCTAGTAAACCAACCACTCAGTCAAGCACTAAGACACAAATACCTACGGGATTATGAATAAGGATAAGGAACTATGTAAAGACTTTATGTAATACTGCTTTGATAATTATTCATAATTCACTTCAAAACAAAGAGCTTTGATGAAATAGGCTGTTTACAAAGCTGATCATTGAATTAATTCAATTCAGTTTATTTATAGAGCGCCAATTTACAACACATGTCATCTCAAGGCACACTACAGTTCACTAGATCATCCAGTCAATTTGATTCAAAGTTTTCTATCTAAGGAAAACCAGTTGATTGCATAGAGTCATTGACTCAAAGGCAACCCTTCACACTAAGCATGCTTGTTGTAGCTACAGTGTTAATTGTAGACAGAATTAAAGAGAAAAAATGTGAGCAAAAAAATAAGAGTAGAGTAAAAAAAGGAAAAATAAATCTTAAAATAAAAGTGTTGATCCTGCCTTGTGTCCAGCACTTATTTGGTGAAATGGAGAGGTAAGGACACTGAACAGCTTCTCAGCCCTTAAAGGGCAAAGCAGAGACACGCATGAAAAAAATACACTCACCGGCCACTTTATTAGGTACACGTGTCCAGCTGCTCGTTAACACTTAATTTCTAAGCAGCCAATCACATGGCGGCAACTCAGTGCATTTAGGCATATAGACATGGTCAAGACAATCTCCTGCAGTTCAAACCGAGCATCAGTATGGGGAAGAAATGTGATTTGAGTGACTTTGAACGTGGAATGATTGTTGGTGCCAGAAGGGCTGGTCTGAGTATTTCAGAAACTGCTGATCTACTGGGATTTTCACGCAAAACCATCTCTAGGGTTTACAGAGAATGGTCCGTAAAAGAAAAAACATCCAGTGAGCGGCAGTTCTGTGGGCGGAAATGCCTTGTTGATGCCAGAGGTCAGAGGAGAATGGCCAGACTGGTTCGAGCTGATAGAAGGGCAACAGTGACTCAAATAACCACCCGTTACAACCAAGGTGGGCAGAAGAGCATCTCTGAACGCACAGTACGTCGAACTTTGAGGCAGATGGGCTACAGCAGCAGAAGACCACACCGGGTGCCACTCCTTTCAGCTAAGAACAGGAAACTGAGGCTACAATTTGCACAAGCTCATCGAAATTGGGCAATAGAAGATTGGAAAAACGTTGCCTGTTCTGATGAGTCTCGATTTCTGCTACGACATTCGGATGGTAGGGTCAGAATTTGGCGTCTACAACATGAAAGCATGGATCCATCCTGCCTTGTATCAACGGTTCAGGCTGGTGGTGGTGGTGTCATGGTGTGTTATATTTTCTTGGCACTCTTTGGGCCCCTTGGTACCAATTGAGCATTGTTGCAACGCCACAGCCTACCTGAGTATTGTTGCTGACCATGTCCATCCCTTTATGACCACAATGTACCCAACTTCTGATGGCTACTTTCAGCAGGATAATGCACCATGTCATAAAGCTGGAATCATCTCAGACTGGTTTCTTGAACATGACAATGAGTTCACTGTACTCAAATGGCCTCCACAGTCACCAGATCTCAATCCAATAGAGCATCTTTGGGTTGTGGTGGAACGGAAGATTCGCATCATGGATGTGCAGCCGACAAATCTGCGGCAACTGTGTGATGCCATCATGTCAATATGGACCAAACTCCCTGAGGAATGCTTCCAGCACCTTGTTGAATCTATGCCACGAAGAATTGAGGCAGTTCTGAAGGCAAAAGGGGGTCCAACCCGTTACTAGCATGAGGTACCTAATAAAGTGGCCGGTGAGTGTATATTCAAGCACACACTTATACTTAAGGGCAGCAGGAGTAACCAGACACAACAGCACATGCACAGGAAGAGCATACAAACATAATGGAGAAAAACATTCAGCTGTGATATGATTCCAGGACCTTCTTGCTGCAAGACAACAGATGCTGTGTTAACACCTGACCTGACACACTGTCAAAATAATAAAAAGGTCAGAAAAAAGCACTTAAAAACAATTAAATGAAAGCTAAACATGTTTGTCTAATATCTGGAAGTCCTTACTGGTGTTAATGATGATTAGAGACTATAGAATATGCAGTAATGCATAATCCTTCACTTCCCTATAAGTTAAAAGCTTAACTTTTTCGGAGCTAAGAGCTTACTTTGCATCACTTTTAAAAGGATCCTCATCCTAAAGGCCTTTTGTTAGTTTGCTGTTTGTTTACAGTATCTCTTTTTCTCCAATATAGTTATTCATACATCTCAACAAATATCATAAAGGTTCTCTTTAACATGACATCAGATGAATGAAATCATGCCTTTTGGTTGCAGAGGTATATCCAATGCATTATGGGGAAGTAAACTTCAAGCAGAGGCTTAACAAACAGGTATAATAGGGTTAAAGTGTGCTCTATTGGAAGTCAGAATAGAAAGACCAGTCCTGGATTGGAATGTACATACTTACTTGTCCCTTCAATTTGGCTAGGCCAAAATTGGTCATGTCTGTTTTATCTGAATTAATCCAAAGGCTGTTTTTTTCAACAACCCTCCGGTCAGCTGACATTTCAAAGATCCTGATGCAACATTAATACTCTATCCCTCCCTTTAGGCTTTGTAAGGTTCAAATCAATGGCATAGCAGCACATCATCCTGCTTTTATCAAATGTTTTGCATGCAGTCTGGGCAAAAAACTTGCATTATTTGCATCTATGATGTCAATATTTTCAGAGCAGGAGTCCAAGATGCATGTTTGTAGAATATGTTTTTCACACAAATGTCACTGTTTCTTTTTCTGTTTTTTGTCTTGTTTTCTCAATATAACACTGAGGGCCGGATCTATCAAAGGTTTGCGTGTATAAAAACGTGAGCTATTTCACTGCGCACGCTAAAAAATGTACAAACTGATCTATCAACAGCGTGCTAAAAGGATTTGGTCTTTAAAACGTGCTAAATAGCGCCTCTTATCCATTTAGTACTTTTTCTGCAATGAATATGCAATATGGGGCGTTTACATGCAAAAGTGCGTCTTGTGGGAGGAGAACATGTAAATATATTAATTTAGCACTCGCAAAGTGATTTATCAAACCTAAAAACAATTTTGCTAACGGTATCTGACTCTATATTTAACACGTTTCAAAAGAAGGTGCAAATGGTCTGTATCCGTAATTGCGCACACATGGCAGCGGTTATTGTCGCAAGAAGGAGACATCGAAATGAAACAAGGAGACGCAGAGAACGCATTTTTTCACTCCGTGTGAATATTTTTGGAATGAACGAGGAAACGATCATCAAAACATATCGTTTATCCAGCATTGCCATTTTGGAGCTGTTGGGGGAACTCCGAATGGATTTGGAGCCAGCCACAAGGAGGACCCACGCAATACCAGATATCACAAAACTCCTTGCAACATTGCACTTTTTTGCATCTGGGTCATTCCAGCGTACGGTTGCAGCGAGAGCTGGGATCTCCCAATCTCGTTTTTCAGAAGTGCTGTCCGAAGTGCTGTCCGACGGGGTCGGGGTTCTCCACCTGCGCCTGTGGCGCAACATGCCAATGCTGCGGGGATGCGTAATCTCATCCACAGTCACTTCTTGTGAGCCATTTGGTATGTGCATTTTTCTACAGGCCAATACAAAACACCTGTTTTTTTTTTTTTTTTACTGCAGTGAAGTAGAAATTCAGCCACATACCACCTTAGGGAATAAAGGTTGCCAAAGTTTTTTCTTTATATCACTGTAAGATTTAAATTTTCTAATGCACTAGTTTGTAGAAACTACAAACTACTTTGCCGCAAACCACAAAACGCGCAAAACCATCATTTAAATAGGGCGTCTCCAACAGTTTTGCACCTGCCACCAGTTACGCAATCGCTCTTGTTAAATCACCCGCAAACCATGGTTCAGCCCCTCGCGCAAAATTCCAGTTTGCGAGCGCAAATTACTGCACGCAAAATTGGATCTTGATAAATCCGGCCCCGAGAGTGTTTTTCTAATGTTGAAGTATAACACCCAAAGGCGCTGGTCTAGGTACCAGATATGGTGATTCTACTAACTGTATAACATGATATTTATATGTTCTTTTCAGGATAAACTAAATTAACTTAGGTTAACTAACTAGCCAATAATAAGAAACAATTAGATAAACATGTTTCAGTTTGAAGTCTCTAAAGATTAAGATGTCAAATGAAATCCAGGCAGAAGCAATCAAGATAGGTCATTTAGGATCAAACTGTTAAG